TTGTGCAGCAAGCTGAGCAGCCTTTTTACAGGCCTTTTCTACTTAATCTTTCCTCTGAAACAACTCTGTGTTCACTCTTTACCCATTTTCACAGGATGTCCAGTATGTGAACCACAAAGTGGTCCTCGCTTAGTTTTCCTGTGTGGCTAACTTAGATTTCCTTTAATTTAAACTACTCTTGTAGTTCTCCAGCCACCTCTAGGCATGAATGCCTCCAATAAGACTTTATCTAGATATTTCTTCTCACTCCCTTTTCCTCCCTTTATGTCTCTACTCTTCCAGCTGATATTAAATCCTTATTAGATGGGGGTATAGCATTTTTCCTACTAAGGCAAGCCAACAACACCTCTACTTAATTCACAGTGCAAGCTGCTATGCTGTTAATGATAAAGAATCACTTTTCCTTCCCTTGTGAAAAGACAGCCTAGTTTACCTTTCCCTGCCCTGGTTTGTTCTGAGGTAAGTTGTTTGTTAAATTGCTTTCCTCAGGTGAAAATATTGACTGCAGATGAAAGGCCATGGTTGATGATGGGAGAGTGAAGAAGAATTAAGCTGTTTTGGGGCATGCCATGTTCAGGGGAACCCCCTGGACATGGGGCATATATGAGGGACAAATAGCTGAGGCAGTGCTGCTTGTTACCAGGACAGGCAGGGTCCTGCTTTAGTGTACATGTGGAAGAGCAACAAGGTTTGTACTGCAAAGAATGTTTATTTTGTAATGCAAATAACAAAAGAGAGCGCCCTTTGTCTCAAATTCTGTTCTGGCAGAAGGTCCTCTGCAAATACAGTAGGATTGTATATGAACTTTTCTGGCCCCAACAATTTCCAATCATTGCAACTGATGATTTAAGACACCTATAGCAGTATGAAATCTCTCTGTGAAGCCTCTTGGCGGAGTTTACTTGCTCTGAAACCTCTGAACTGTGTGTGCTTTATATATCTCTGCACCCACAAAAGTCATGTTTATCCTGTTCTCTTGCACCATGATAACCATCTGAGCTATACAACACATTTGCTGTGCCACATCTGGTCCAACAAGAAGGAGCACTGTAGCTCCAAAAAGTAGGTTTGAGGCTGCAAGCACACTGCTTGAGTTTGGATGTGATTCTGGAAGAAAATGAGGGGGTTTACAGCCTGGATACTGCTTTAGCACATTGAATGGGTAAGCAAGTAACCTAGAAAGAGTCCCAGCTGCATCTGCCACGGTAACATGTCAGCAGCTGGCAAAAAGAATCCTGAGTATCTGACGCACAGGGATGGAACCAGAGGACAAACTGATAGGGGACCTCTTTAGCCATGGTCAACTGAAGGAGGTTTTTGTGTTAAACTAGATATTGCCTAACAGGGAAAATCCCACAACTGGAGACAATTGTGCATTTTCCATAGAGTCCTGGCAGTACTCTCTAGTATTTTGAGTACTGCCACAGCACACTGTGCAAGAAAAGCTCGATCCCCCATGCAAGGGTAGCTATTGTGACCTTTCTGATTCTTTCACCTTTCGCTGGCACCTTCCTTCTTTTTCCCCTCTGGAATGCACCCCTTGCCCCCTTGACTCCATCAGCTCAGAAGCAATCCTGCTGAGTTTGCTCCAGGCATCACACTCTTTCCAATGCAAGTGGTTTATTCAAGCAACTCTGCAGGGCTCACAGCATGAACGGCGATGACAAAGGGTAGGTGACATCAGTCACATATAGGCCTTGCTGCTTCATATTAAACTGTGGCACCTGAGAAATGGCATATAACCAGGAGAGATGACATTTGGCCAAGGTGACCCGGAGCAGGAAGAGTGCCCAGGTCAGGCCAAAATGAAACAATAGTGTGAGATAGTGGGAGGGCTGCCAGCAGCAGAGCCGGCGGGAAGGCTCCCGTATGAACCTGAAAGCAAACAAACTCACTGCCAAGTAGCACTACTCCTGCTCCAAGGAGGATCACTTATTGCAGTTTGAATTATTAGCTCATTTGTTGTAGTAAAAGAGTGTGTGGACGCAAGGCACTGTGAGGAGACCAACCTAAATTACCTCTGTGTGCAAAAAAAAGGCCTGGGAGTGTATTTATATCCATGCTTTGCTATGGGACTGTTATTCAAAGCACAATATAAATCATTATGTAAAAATCAAAATACCTTTGGTCTCTGCAATGTACCTGACTTCAAAGCACAAGTTCAGTAAGTTAAGCAGAATTGGTAATACTTGATGTTCTAATAGAGCCTCTATAATATCTAATTTATACTGCTCTTAACATATGGAGCATTTGCTTTGGCAAATGAACTTAGTAATATTGGTGCTTTCCCAGCACACAATCAAAGCACTGACTTTGTAAATCATTGCAACAAAATCACTGGTTTGGAGGAGCCTTCTCCTTTCTCCATTTGCTGCACCTTCCCAACTAAAAGAAAAAAGTGCAATATTTTACTGTTATACATTGACAGTTTTTGCTGGGTCATCTTACCAATTATACAAAACACAAATCTAAAAACCTGCATCTTAGGGCAGTGAGTCTCTATAAGTAACTTGTGGATGTGACTGGGGCTGGAGACTGTCCCCAGGCCATGGACCTCTTGGAATTTGGGGCCTATTTGGGTTTCTTTGAGGATGGAAAAACACACGCAAGGGATTCTAGCATATACACATAAATCTTGTCAGTTGAATGTAGAATAATGGGAATCATCAGGGAGTAAAAATACTCCACTTTTTATGGTAAACACCATAAAACACGGTAAATACTTCAGTTTTACAGTAAAAATTAAGCCCTGCCATCCCCTCCCAGCACTCAGTTCCCTCCTTTTTAGGCATTTGGCTTTCTTTGCAGCTTAAATTCTATTCCTAGTAAAATTCCTTCCCCATTCTTCCTTAAGTATGTATGAAATACTCATTTCATACACTCAGAGAAGTGCTACTCAGTGAATTTTACTATCAACTTCCCAACTAATAGTGATTTCATGTCCCAATTTTCCTTCATTATAAAATTCCAGTCTGATTTCTTAATCGTTGCTGAAGTGGAAAGGTGTGTTTGTTCATTTGGGTATATATATATATGTATTTTTTTGTATGTTTCCACCAGATGGTGAGAAAAAGGAACTTAAGGAACAGAAAAGGACATAAGGTAATTTTCTAGGTAGTCTAACTGGTCTGTGAATCAAGGTGGCATATGCTTGTTGTAGCTGAACCCCTAGCAGTACAAATCTCTTGCATTTACAGAAAGCTGAAATCCTTAATACCCATATCACCTTTGAAAATACTGCCAAAGATTTAACAAAAATGCTTTTGGTCACATAGGCCAAGTTAAAAGACTGTACTTGCAGCCCACCCACTGGGACACAAAAAGGCAATGATTCGAACTCCTGTGCAGGTAACGTGTGACTACAGAGGCTGAACTATTTGGAAGATAACCTCAGCTACAGTAGGAGAAAGAACAATGAAGATAATGGAAAAGAAACAGCTATAATAACCATCTGCAAGCACACATGGCCTCTACTTCAGCGCCCATAAAACTTAAAATGATAAAAGAAAAGGAAATTGCTTGCGAAATACCAAAGACTGCTTTATAAACATTTCTTCTTATGCTTTTGTATGGTTGCCCTCTTTATGGTATTCGGAGTGTTGTGTGTATTAATGCTTAGTGTGGAGAGAGGTATATTCCAGGAAAATCTTTCCTTCACTTCCCCTTCTACCTTGCATATGCACATATTGTTAATTATGGAGTGTACCCAAGGGTGCCAGCAGTGTTGTCCTGCCCACCAAATCAGCTTGCATTGCCTGAGCTACACGCCCTGCCCCTCGGCTGTGTACGGGGGTCAGTCCTAGCTCCATCTGCATGGCTGTATAAACCAACAATGGCATTTGAAAGAAGGGAAGAATTCCAATCATGATCACAGTGACTTCCCTGGACTAGGCTTAATTTTGCCTTTCAGTGACCAGCATAGCTTTGGGCTATCAATAGTTTTATAGCTACTACAAGTCCCTTAAGTGAGAGCATAGTTTTACTGCCTTTTTATTGGAATGCAATGCCAAATTACATATATGTGTCCCTCCTAAGGCTTATTTCCCTCCTAGAGTGGTACTAGCTAGACTAGAGTAGTCTAGCTGGACTGGATCCCAAACCCAAACCATGGTGCAGCTCCAACACAGTCCTGGGAGAAACCAAGAGGTGCTGCAGCTGAGAGCTGCTCAATGGACCCACAAGTACACTGAGACAAAGGACAACCTACAGCAGTTTCAAATTTCCTTATGAACATAATGGAACTAAACCAAGAGTCATTTGTGCCTTTGAAATTCATGTTGAGTGTTGCAAACTTTTAGTCATTTTGGGAAGAACTGAGCTGAATCCCCATCCCGAGTCACACCGTGTGTGAGCTATTTCTCTCCTAGGAGAACAACAGTGTGTACTCCATAACTTTTAGCTTCAGACTGCTCTTTAACCTAGACATGAGCCTTGCATAAATTCAGAGGTCACCAATTGTTATAGCTTTATCAAGAACCTTATTAGTGATCATTAAAAATAATCTTGCTTAGAAGGAGACTGCTATGGGCAAAGCCCATCTTTCCTATTTATTTTATGACTATTAATGTTTTTTTTAATGTTTATACATTAGTGCAAGGAACAGTGTTAGCATAATTCTAGTGTAAAATAAAACCAGCTGTATCCATTATAAGTGCATTACTGCCAGGAACTGTAAATATGTTTATGCCTGATAGCCTTCTGACTCAATAATATCCTGCTATCTCTGTTGGGCAGGCAAGTTTTTAAACCAAGAAAAGACAGGTTATGATTTTCATAACCAAACTGTGTTTCTTTTTGAAGTATGTTATCTAAATTCAAATTTTAAGAAGGTCATTAAAAAAAATCTGCCTGTGATTTTAAAGGAGAACAAAGTGGTGGCAAGAAGGTATGATGCGCACTAAGAACAAGTTATTCCTCACAGATATACACATACGCAGACAAACCCTGCCATATCATACCATACAAACAATTTTAATTGTGTAGTTACAGTCAATAACCACTCCTAGTCAGAACATTTCTGCATAAAGAAAATTGTGATACACTTATAAAAACAGCCAGCTGTAACAAAATAACTGGTGTTTTCATAGCAATAAACTCATAAAAAAGAAATACACCTTTATACAGAAAATTTATACAGCTGTAGCTTTAAAATTGATTGTAAACCAAAGGAAGACACATTGCAAACATCAATTATTTTCACATTAATTGCATAAGTTTCTAAGGTGATCTATTAGTTTTATTTACCTAAGCTTATTTGCATGATAGTAAAAATTGCATACAACAATAAGAGTGAAGCTTATAGTATGAATTGCTTGGATAACATAGAGCACTTTTTATAGGCAACTGTGTAAAGCACATTTTCTCTATTTAAAACTTTTAAGACACTTTGTTTTACTGCCCATCAAAATACATTTATAAATAGAAAAAAAAAATCAGTATGGTAACAAGAGAAGCAATATTACATTTAACGGAAACTTCCAAAAAAATTAATTACAACATGATGCTGCAGGATCTACAAATAAATAATGAGGACTAAATTGTGTTTCACATTTTCTTTTTCATTTTCTCTAAAACCATGTAACAATGAGAATGGAAAAAAAAAAATACAGTGACCTTTATTTCCAAAAGAAAACAAATCTGAATTACGGCAGTGCCATATAATACAAGGCATTTGTTGGCATATGTTATCTTTAAACTGCATTCCACAGTCTATAGTTCTTTTGTAACATACAATAGAACAAGAGTAACAAACTCTTTTTATTTATTTTTTTTAAATAAATGTGATTTTTCAAAGATCAAGTGTGGAGTGCTACAGTAATAATTAAAAAACAAGAACAAAACAGAAACGAAAAAACAGTAAATCACAAAAGTTGTAATGCTTGTCTGAAGGCTCCAGAATCAAAATCACTGGTATCATGCTTATTGGGTACACTCACAGTGTATCCAGTGAACACAAATTAATATCAAACAATCCTCAACGCTTCATCTGTTGCTGCGAAGCAGTTTGTAAAACAGAGTAAAACATCTAGTGCAGTCTGCATTATCCTTTTTTTCAACTTTTGTGCAAGTTTTGGAAGATTCATTGGCCAAACAATGAATAATAAGGGTTTTTGACAGAACGCAAGATGGAATTTTCATTTCATTAGTAAATACCAGCGGCACTGTTGAAAGAAAATAATACTTTTAGATCAGTCTTTCAATTCAGCATTAATCTCTGTGTTCCCTTCTACTGATAACTCTTCTTCTAGTTTAACTGAAAAAAGCGTGTTTGCATTTTTGTCTTGGATGCTGTCTTCTAAATCCTTGAGGAGCTCTTCTTCCTTGTATTCTGCAACATCCACCTCCAAACCAGAATTGTCCTTCAGTTTCCCATGGTGCTTGAGATAATATCGCTGGTTCTGAAAGAACTTGATAATGGTGTACTTGGGCAGGTCAAGCTGAGCGGAGAGAGTCTGGATTGCTTCTTCATCTGGATACAGGCCTACATCTTGTATGAAACTCTGTAGGATCCCTAGGGCCTCAACAGAAATCTTTGTTCGTGGTCGGGGTTTCTGACGATTTTCATCCTCAGATTCAGCTGGTGATGCTACTGTCGGTTGCCTTGGGGGTAGTCTGGGACCTGGTTGTTGTTGCTGTTGCTGCTGTTGTTGTTGCTGTTGCTGCTGTTGCTGCTGCAAGACAAAGAACAGCATTTTTTTTGTACATGTATTCTTGCTCATATTTTGTTACTGAGAAAATCCTGGGGAGGGAGCGGGGGGAAGAAACTGCGGAGCTACAAACAAAGGCTTAGTAAGTTAAAAGAACAAAAAGGAAGGAAAAATAGAAAGAACAAAAAGAACACCGTAGGTTTGCTGGACCAAAGACAGCAATGATACAACATCGGTGCAGTTTACCTGACAAATTTTAATGAACATGTTCCGTGAATCAAGTGCAGACTAGACAAAATGCTAAATAGGTGACATAGTATAGGATTAACTTGACCAGATTAGCCAGAACTGTAGCAAGGGCAAAGTGAGAAAAGTGCCAGATGAGGGCAAATGTGCCGGAGCTCTGCCAGCAACGGCAGCTGCTGCCCAAAAAACAAGGGCTGCAAATCTCTAGCAATAGCTAGATGAAGGGAGTGGGGAGTCAGAGGGAAGGAGAGCATTTTATCTCTTTCAGTACAGAAATATCTCACTGCTGATCTGACCTCAGCATGCACTGAAGTCTTGTCAAACTTGCAAACATTACGACAATGTGCTGGCTGGAAGCGCCTAACGTGACGCTGTCAAACCCAGCCTCGGCAAGGACAAAGAGCTCTGGAGGTAGGAAATCTGTATTTCCCCTTCTGGATCTGACCTCTCTTACCTATGGTCTCTGAGCAGGCCTGCGCTGCCTGTAAACCAAGAAATAAAAAGGGAACAGACCTATTTACCTGCCTCTGTGTTTGTGCTGGAGATTATTTAGTTAATATTTATAAGGCACTAAGATGCAAAGCTCTAAATAAGTTGCACTATTATTATTAGAAGGGAACATGCTGCATTCCAAAAACTCAGGCAATAAAAATGAGCCAGTATGCACATCAGAAGAATAAGATAAAGCAAATCATGATGTAAATAATTAACAAGAGCTTAAAATGAAGTTTTGCAAGCATGGATTCAGAAACATTCTTAAAAGGTGAGGCACTGAGCCCTAGGGACAGAAATGTTTTTCTCATCTACCACCAGAGTACAGTACACAGTAAGATCATGTTTAAAATCAAAAGTAAATTTATCAGCTACTGTTTGTGTTGACAATTCTTTTGCTGCACAGCACAGGAAGCACTGGTTAGTAAGATATTTTGGATCAGCAAATTTCTTGTCATATGGTACAAACCACCAGTTATTAAAAAACAACCACAGCAAAACAAGCAGTTGCTATCACTGCATTTTATTTCCCTTTGAGAGTCTCCCCTCAACAATTTTTTTGTGTTTTGGTAGTGGTTACCAGGCTTCTAGTAGCAGCTCTTTGAGACCCTAAGAAGCACAAAATGCTGTACAAATGGTATAAATACTGGAGGGATTAGAATTCTGTCTGCTTCATAGGGACTCTTGCGGTTGTGGAGACCTCGCTCAGATCTCTACAACCGGTTTAGAAGCCACTGCTCTAAGCAATCTTCATATTTTAAGATCTGACACAAATGCCCTGGAATTAGGTCTCCTTCCTCATTCCTACTGAGGTCCTTTCATGGTTTATAGCCTGTGAGCAGTCCCATTCAAGGCTTCAGTCCTGAAGAGATTCAAGACTACTCCCACCACATTAAATTCTTACAAGACCGGAGGCTTTTTATATACAGTTCGAAAACCGTAATGTCTGAACGACATATTTATGTATCTACAATGATTACCATCTAGAAGAGTGGAGACAAAACTCGGGCCCAATCTCCCAGTCCTTACTCTTACAAGTCATATTGAGATATTACAATGCAACTGCTTATGTGAATAATATTTATGAGATCAAACACACAACTTTTATCAACAAGGCAAGAAAATCCAAGTAAGTAGCATAGTGGTTGAATGTTTATACTGTGCATAAGCTTCTCCTTTTATCCCCTTAAGAAGCAATTTTATTAAAAACAATGTACATTTTCAAACAAGTGCTGTTTTATTACTTAATATAGATCTTTCTCTCTCTTTGTGCTAAATCAAACAGCAAGTTTCCAGGCTTTCACAATTATTTTAGTACTTGATATCCTAAGGGATTGTCTTATTCAGTTTGCTTTATCTTTAATATACACTCGTGTTGTTTCTGGCTGCGAGATAACTCTATCCTTCCTAGCTTTGTAAATATTTTTCTGTATAGGTAATATAAGTGATACACAGGGTCTCAGCTGAGGTTGGGAAAGCATGGGGTAATATCTGCCCTTTAAGAAGGAGCAGCTACAAGGCTGACCTCAGGTCTTTTGCGAGAAGCGATTAAAGAGTCCCAGCTCAGAAGAGACAGCAGTCCCCACTGACAACCTGGGCTGCATAGCTTAGCACAGCAGCCAGCTCCACTCCTGGCTGGCAGCGCCTGTGCCAGCAAAAAGGGTGCGTGCAGCTCCTGGGGGAGGCCCCACTGGGGCTGCCCTGAAGCAGAGGGCAGCTTTTCCAAGCCTCATGGTGTGGGTCTTGCATCCCCTCCTCTCTCTCCCTGACATGGTGCCCTTGTGCCGGCTCACCTGCGGAGCAGCACCCAGCCAAGGTCCAGCGGTCAGCAGGCCTGGTAGGAAAGCGCCTCTATGCTCTCCTTTCCCAAGGGTGGTGGGAGAGGGGGTCTGAAGGAAAAACAAACAAATATTGACTCGCCCCAGTCTCAACTGGGGTTAAAGTGGGATGAGGAGTCCCCTTCCCTTCACTCCTACCCAGGATGAGCTGCCACTGCTGAGGGCTCTTGCTTAGTTTTGGAACAGCAGCACAACAAAGTCCTCCTGCTCTGTTGGGAAGACCTGTGACACCGGTGCCACACGCTCCTGCCTTTTGGCCCTGGTGCCTGTCCAGCCAGGCACAGCCAGCACGGAGCTCGCCCTGCCCCGCACACAGCTGCCTCGTGCTACCACCACACACGTTTGCAAACAACCAGCGAACTGAAACAAGAACTGTGGGTGGTCACACGGCCTCCTTTGAACTGTGGTGGTGGATGGCAGAGCACTCTTATCTTGCACCGGGAGACCTGCATTTAGCCTGACCAGGAGGGAAGAAACACTAATTTCCTTTGCTCCGTTTAAAGCTTTATTTACTTAGCGCTCTGTGGGATTGGCCAAGGTAAACTAACCTGAATCTGTTCTGCTGGCACATGGATAATGTGGGAAGGCCTGTCACCATGGTGATGAACTGCATTGCTTTCTTGTTCATAAATGGCATCGCGTTCAGGCTGAGGAAGACTGAGGAACCTTCGGATCATGGAGAGATTCTCCCAGAGGGTCCTGTTCTCTGGTGATGGATCTTCTTTCCAACGTAACAGCTCACAGAGCCACCCCTTGAAGATAAAACCAGCAAAACATTAGTGGTTTATTTTCGTCACACTGCAAGGGGCAAAATGAAGGGGACATGTATACTTTAAAGGTGCTGCATTCTCTCATGCTCTCACCTGATCCAAAGGGCTTTCACTGCACAAGCTGAGCTTAAAGGAAACGCCAATACAATGAGAGGCTGCCCAGCCATTTTACAGACCTTTACCAACCACAGGCATTTTAGAAAGCACCTTCCTCTTGGTCTCACACCACAGTGCAGCTGTTTGTTTGCTTGACTGTAGAGCTGCCTAACGTGAATCAGAGCAGCAGAGGAGCTCCCTAATATCCTTCCAAAAGAAGGAATCCTAAGACTAGATACAGTTAAGCAATAACTTCTTATTTCTGCAAGAAAGAGTTTGCTACAAGAAGAGGTTTCTCTGCAGGTGAACTTCTTTCAAGTGATACATAACTGTTTCCAGATTGTCCTTACAGACGCAAAAACTCCCAGTCCCTCAGTTTTCCATACAGGATTATTAGAGGTTGGGGGGAAGGAAGATGTGCTCTAGCTTCTGATACACCCTTTATACATTTTTACATCAAGGACAGCAAGGTGCCTTAGTCTTTGGGATCCTTAATAGGAAGTGAGCTACAGAATCTTCTGCAAAAACAAACAGTTGCTAATTTGTTTCCGGTAGAGACATGAGTTCGTCACGAAAATGTAATATTTCCTTACATCTTCTTCAAATTGAATTGAGGATTTTTTCTTAACTGTGCACTGGTAGTTCTAAATGAGGAATGTAAACCCTCTAGCTGGGACAGTGTGCATCAGCAGAAATTTTCTAATATATTAAAATTTAGGAACAAAATATTACATGTATAAAACATGCATATTTCCTTTATTTTAGCTTCAAGGATCTGTTTTCAAAAATAGGTTCATGCAGTTTTATCTCTTAATGCTGTAGGAAAGATAATGTGACATTTTATTGAATCAACAAATAATATAAATGTACAGAAGCTTTTAGATCCTTTTTATATTTACCGGTAGTGGATTAATGGTTTATCCAGACTGGTTTACTAACAGATACAATAGACATGTAGATATGATACAGGTATGTATTTTCTTGAAGATACTCATATCTTCAGCTAAGAATTAATAAATGCAGTGTAAAAACATTGCCGTAACAGGAAGAGTAAAAGTAAACAAATAATGCCTTCATACTGTATATGAAAATATTTAGTGAGGTGTGTATAAAAATTTGAAGTATATTTGCTTGGATATAAGTGGAAAACTGAACAAATGACACAGAAGAAAATGCCCCCAAGAAACTATCAAAATGACAAATGTTACAGAGATGGTGGTAGCAGAGCTGAAAAAGCAAAAATTTAAATGGGGCCAAAATCTGCCTGGTGCTCATGAGGTGTGCTAGGGAGGCAGCAGAATGACTCCCCATACCCTAGGGATGGAGCACACTCCATTCCTTGACCATGCACTAAGGGGGGATGCTGGTATTGCCCCAGGGTTTAGCAAGATGACTTGGAAATGCAGCCAAATGCCTTCACACAGAGCACACAACACTCAGCCTGTCCTGGCTGGAATTGTATGGCATGTTTTCAAAACAGTAGCAAGGGTCTCTGGAATCTCACTGGAATGTATTAGCAGAGCGAGGTCTCCCTGCCCCTAACAAAAACAGCATGTTGCTCATGGCTCTCTGCTCACCTTGCATCTGTAGGGAAACTGAACGCTGGATTACATTTAACAGCACTATTTGTTTATTGCAGTAAGCTTAAAGTGGTGCACTCAGAAAACAGAAGTAGCTTGTTGGAGATGGAGGAGAGAAGATGAAGAGAAACCAATCTAGATCTTTTAACTGAAAAGCAGTTACAAAATTCTTAATGAAAGAACACTAAAGCCACAAGCCATCCCATGCCAAAATGTAAAAATTGCTGTTCGGTTGTCTAGAATCTACACTGCTTCACACTGAAACTGTTGGCTCTCTTTCTAATTGTGGTGAAACAAAGAACAGAGCTGCCCATCATGACAGTTTGGTGAAAGCAAAAAAAAGACAAGACAACCTGTCTCCACTCATGACACTTCTCCAAGGCATACACACAGGCTGGAAAAGAAGTTACACCATGCATTTAGAAGCTGCACATGTTTTGTCTGCTGACCACAGGAATCACAGGGTTTGTTTTTTCTTAAAAATCCAGTAGAAACTCTTCATAATTAAAAAATACCCAGTAAAAAAAAAAAAGTCCTAGGCAATAATACTTTCTGTTGATTAAACATACATCACAGCAGTTTTTGTTAACTAAGAAATACCTTCTGCCCTTACTGTCTTCTTTTCTGTTTCTGTATTTACTAGGTCAGATCTTATTTTTATCCAGTACTGATAGCTAACATTGTATTTCCAATATTTTTCTTTCAATTTTTGCACTGAAATACTACTTCTAATTCCATATCTAAAATTATTTGATGAATTGTAACCTGAAACATGTCTCTGCTAGCCTTTCAGGGATTTTGAGATAATGAAGACACACTTCTGACAGGGTAACACAGAAAAGATTACTTTTCTACCAAAATGTCTCTATTCCACTTGGCACACTTTTAAAGAAGTAGACACAGTCTGATGAAATATTTGATGGAAAACATGGGAACAAACAATTGAATTATTTTACAATTACAAGGATAGAAACAATTTTTTCATCTTCATGGTTTATTTCTGTACATATTTATGAAAGTTGATCTCACCAACGTTCTCAGAAGAGATAGTGGATGGACAGCAAGAGAGGCTGTAGGGGCTTACTTTGTTGAGACAAAGAACTTTATACCAATATGCTTTCTTTTGGTTCAAGACAAACAAATAAAAATAAAAGTATTTCATTTATTTTCCGGTTCAGAATTCTGTACAGGAAATAAAGCTCATTCATAAAATTTCATACTACATGAGAAAGTATGAAAGGTTTTTACGAAATTTAGGAAAAGTAATCATCTGGACTTTTCTAATTGTTAATTTTAAGTTCTGTAAAATTTATAAGTTTTGCTTCCATTTGATCTAAAAAAAATATGAAGTGCTGCAGATAATGCAATTGAATTTACAAGGCTAAATTAACAGGGCTATTATTAACAGGGCGGTTTTTTCTCCTTTCATGGTTTTTTAAGTCTAGAGCAATTTCTGCCTAGTTTCCTTTTTTTCTTGTCTTTATATTTTTACAGGAAGTGGAAATGATCACAAAATAATAAGGAAATATTTATAAGTCAGATTAGATCACAACCGGTTTATACAGCATATAGAGTACATTGTTAAAAAAAACAAAACAGCATTAAAATAATGAAGTTGATACATTTATGCAGAAAGGCAAACCCCACAAAAATTCTGCAATGACATTGGGAACAACCTTGATTTTAAAACAGAGTAAATTTGCCAGGCAACATTACACTGAATATAAAGAGAGTACAAAGCAAAATATAAACATTAGCCACATGTAAATATGTTTGGAGAACTTTCAGGATGTTACTACTTTTCAAACTGACAAAGTTTAATTTGACACCTTCTGTTCTAAAACCTTTGTTTCTATTCAAAATCACGCCTTTAGCTGCTATCAATCACTATGCTCTCCCTATTACTTAAAATACTGGCATGGGCCCTGGATAAGCTGAAAATGCCATGCAGATGAATTCTGAGATAATATGTTCAAACCTGTTATATACAACACAAATCCTGTAAAGTTATGTATTGTAAACCTACATTTATTGGGAACTAAAAGTCTTAAATCCATCTGCTACAAAGAAAATACTGTTATGCACTTTCAAGTAACCAAGTACCATCTGCAAAGGTCTTGCTACAGTAAGCAAGAAAATGGTGAAAAAAAAAAGATGCTAAACCTAAGATATTTAAAATAAATAAGAGTCTTCTGTCTGATTTTCTGATAGGGATTTAGTAAAGAAACACAAGACATTAGAGGAAAAAAACCTGTGAAAGCCGAACTGCCAAACTATTGCAGGAAAAGCGCAAAGAGGATAACTGCCAAAACTTAGGCTCTGCAATACCCATGATCTTGCTTATTTTAAAGAAAGCATCTATGCATTTTATCTATATATCCAAATTATATTCTTTTCAGTTAGACCTCTGCTGTGCTTAAATAAAATCTTGTGCTCTTTCACATAGAGTTTCTAATAAAATACTCTTCCATTCTTTATTATTGAAAGGGAAAAAAAAAATCTACACCTAACGTTTGAAAACCAACCATAATTACATCAAAGAGAATAACATTACAATAATGAAAAATGTTCTCTGCCCAAAGCTTTCCAAATCAGCAACAAACACATCTAGTCTGAGAAAGGAAGGCTACAAGGTGAAGCAATTGAACTTGTTTGGTCAATTTGTTACAGTGATAATAATTTGCCAAATGATGAATATTTCTTGCAGAATAACAACTACTTCAGCATTTTTTAGAAAGGCTGAAACTTAAATCTAAGAAGGGAAAACATTTTAGAGTATCAAAGCTAAGACATGCTCAGGTTTTTTTGGTTATAGTATATTTAAGATTATTTTGTATCATTCTCTGGGGCATATAGTATAATAAAAATCTATGGTGATAAAAAAAATCAATCTAAATAGGGAGATATTTGATACAAACATTTTAACAGAAAGTGTGAATTGCATTTCAGCATCTACCGTGAACAAAGACTAAGTACATAATCCATTAAACAGTACTTCTAACTAAAAAAAATTGAGTATTGTAGACTAAACTAAAGTAGGCATTTTGAATGAGCACATTTTCAGCAACTAACTAGAAAGCTCGCAATTTATCATTCAACAAATAATTTTCTACTTTTAAAAGAATCTGTAAGTGTTACTTATGCTAATGAAGACTGTTTTTAATCTGCCCACAAACATGCTAATAGAGGGCAATTTTTTTTTATTTACAATGCTGAAGGCACTCCAGTTTACAGAACGCAGATATGAAATTACACTTGGTAAAATGGGCTCTTAATTTTCTGAGCAATCCAAATCCTTCACCTTTA